CCACGAAGAGGAATGAACCGAGACAGCTGTCCACCAGGACGCAGGACACACCCCGGACACGAACCACACGGTTAACCAAACCCCCTGTGGTTCCGGCAAGAACCACCGGAGAACAGTCCAAACAGAGCTGAATGGTAGAGTACCTAGTGACCCAAACCCTCCGAAGCGCAAACCAGACAGCCATGAACACCTGAACCGGGCTGTGAGCCCGACGGACAGACAGACTCCATCAACCTTGGCCGACCTGGTGAGCACTGGTCACAAAGCCCCAGCCGAGAGATGACCCGTCCGTGAACACATCGAGCGAAGGCTCGGGGAGCCGCCAAGGCACGGAACCCCGAAAACCCCAAAGAGGAAGCTGGTGACGCAGCACCAACACCAGATCCCCAGAGGAACCCAAGGAATGCAAGAGGCGGAAGTGGAGTCTCCGTAGGAACCAACCGACGCCGGAGCCAAACCCGACTCCGCGGGCAGACAAGCACGCCGAAGTGCAAACTCCCGCACAACCGCCCAAGCAACCGCTGAGCAACCCGGGACCCCCTCCTGAACAGCCAAAGGCGGGACCACAGCCACAGTAACACTTCTGGAGGGAAGACAACGAGGGGCCCAAGAGCCTGAAACAAGGCCCAGGTCCGAACCCGGGACGGAAACAGAAGGTAAAACCTCCAGATCACCAGGAAACCAAACCCAGCGATCTGGAAAGAACCATCCCCTGGCGAGCAGACAAGCGGACTGACTGGGAGCCCACTCCAGCCAGTCGTCGAGGTAGGCCAGACACCGAATCTCAGACGCAGACAGGGCACTAAGATCCGGTAAAGATGCAAAGAGTATACAAAGTGCCCTTCACAAAATAGGGAATGCAATAAAAACAGCAAACCTGAAGCCCCACCACCAAAGCATTGTATGACAATCATATGAAGACATATTATGACATATGACAATCATTATATGACAATATGACAATTATAATCAAAGCATTAAATGACAAAGAGTGCTGGGAAGACGGGACACCACGAGAGTAGCTCTCATCCTGTAACTACACTTAGGTAAGTACACATAGGTAATTACCAACCGTGCTAGCCCCAGAAAAACTGGAGAGGAACGTGCCAAGAAGTGACCTGGAGGTCCAGGTCCACCATCCATGCACCCGGCCCTAACAGAATCCGAACAGGAGACAACAGTCCTCCGAGCAGGGCAGAGGATCCAGGGCGCAGACGGAAGTAGTCCAGAAGAACTGCAAACTGGAAAAGCTCATGACTGCAAAGAGCAGACGGGAAGCCCAGAAGGATGGGGCGGATCGACCACGCCCCACGCACCCACGAAGAGGAAATGACGAAGCGCAGGGAAGAAGCCCACCCCGCCAGCTCTGAACCCCCCCCAAGGGGGAGAAGCCGTCCTCCGACGCCAGCAGAGGCCGGAAGACAACCCAAAGCGCCCACCAACAGCGGGACCAAGCGAGAGGCAACAGAGCAAGCTGCTCCCCCAGCGCCCAGTCAACAGAGAAGGGAACAGAACCCCTTCAGAAAGAAAAAGTACACTACCGAAGTCATGAGGAGAGACTACGGGAATGAAACCACACTTCGCTGGAAGAGGAAGTGAGGGGAGACCTGATCACCACATACAAGATACCCAAGGGAATCGACAGGGTTGAGAAGGACAGGATATGTAACACAAGGGGCACACGCACTAGGGGACACAGGTGGAAACTGAGTACCCAAAAGAGCCACAGATAGAATTAGTTTTTTTTTTTTTTTTTTGTGAGTGTCAGAATGGGAACGGGAAAGCACTAAGAAGTAATGTGGCGACTCCTCACACAAGGAACGAGGCTGACCCCCATACAATGTCACATGTAGACATGACAGAGCCCAAGAGGCACAGGAACCGATACCCTTGTTGACGGACGGTTGAGAGGCAGGACCAAGGAGCCAGAGCTCAACCCCCACAAGCACAACTAGGTGAGGACATATAGTGTAAAAGCACAAGCCGCCGACTAGTGGCAAAGAGCACTACGCCGGCCAGGCAAAGAAGGCACAAAACTGCATCAAAAGGCCCACCTCGACAGCAAAACCACAAAGTCCCAGCACAACCACAACATGTGCCAAGACCCAAAAAGCTCAGTCTGCAAGCCAGGAAGACCCCGGAACCCCAAAAGGCAGAACCGGGTCACATGAGGAAACAAAGTCCCCTGAACCCACAAAAGGGGGCCCAAGAGGAAGAAACCTCCAGAACGAAACCAAGGAACCCAAAGGAACCCAGAATCGAACCAGGGGGAGCCCAAACCACCACATTTGCCAGCGGAGAACACCACGAAAAGGCAAAGCACAGACCCCAGCAGAACGCCCTGGGAAAACGGTCCCAACAGACCGAAAACCGAGGGGCAAGGTGTGGGAGCAAGCATACCAGCCAGGGGCACTGAGCCTAAACCCAGAGGCTCAGACCCAAAATCAACACCCAAACGTTCCCAGAGGAACAGGCAACGGCAAGAAAACACCAGAAAAACAAAGAAACGACAACAGGAGAACAAAAACCCTGCAAATTTTTTGAAAACTCACCAGAGACGCTCGCTCGCACACCCAGACGCATGTAAACAAACCGCAACGCCGCCCTGGTGGCCACGCCGGGAAACCGGCAGACGAAAATGGCCGCCAGCAGGGGCTGTGACTGACGCTTAATACACAAAAACACGCCAGCAAATGTGGGAAGCTAGCAGACTGGAAGGGCGAAAAACGACGCCCAACAGCAGAAAAACCCCTGAAGGGGCAAAACCGCCCCAGAACTGCTAGTAGGCATCCCCCACAGCCCCGGGAACCAACAACAGAGGCCCCGGGGCAGAGCCGTCCTCCAAGCCCTCCGCCCTGAAAGAAAAGCAAGAGCCCATGGGAAAGGCAACAAGAAAGGGCCGCTGGTAAGACCCAGAAGCCTTGGCAGGAGGCACAGGCTCAAACCTCCGTCCCCAACCCGAACGGGGCATCCCCCAAAAACCGCCCGAGTCTGCCGCAACTGAACCCCGCCCCGACCCAGAAACACGCAGACGGTCCGGAGCCGGGAACATGGAGAGAAAGGGGCGAGCAGCACCTAACCAAACGGGGCGGCCACGGGGCATTCGAGTGGGAAACCAACCTAGCATGTTGCAGCAACCTAACCTAGCTTGCAACACGGATGCCGCCTGTACTCTGAACAGTAATAACATCAGGAGAGTACTGGAGAACAAGCAGAGAATCACTCACAAGACTCCGGGTCAAGGTGTCAGTGACCCAACAGGCAGCATGACGGAGGTAAAAATGGCGACTGTCACCCGGAAACAAGGGAACAGCAACCAACGATCCCGTACAAGACGGGTTGGAACCCGGAAGACACATTCAATGGTCCCCCGAGCCCAGACAGGGGTTTCCAGGGCCCGTAGGGTAACAACTACGGGAAGCCCGGGCAAGGTGTTGCTAACCGGTTAAGAAACCCAAACATAACAAGAGGGTAGATTATAGCACTGAAAACCCCTCGAGACGTGTACAAGCACGGGGGCCTAGCAGAGGGCCGCCAAACACTACCAGTGGAACTATAACCACCTTAGGCAGACCCCCACCAGGCAAGAAAATGAAAAACAAAAGAAAAACCCCGCAAAAGTACACCGTCTCCAGAGGCAACAGAAACCGGCCGCCGCTTAGGTGGCAGGCTGCGCAACACCTTGACGCCCTAACCAGCACAATACCAATCCCTACCCAGGGCCAAACAAGGGCCCCAAGCCCCAGCTGGCCCCAAGGGCGAGGCAAATGCCGAGCAGCAAGAACCTCTACGGGAATGGTTCCCGAACGCCCCAGGGAAGATAACCCTGTAACGCAAGGGCAGTACTCACAGGGCGCTTAGGGAAGTCAGCCACTAAGCACATGCAGCCCCGGCACTGATGAAGTACTCCTGGCCACCGCACACCACAACACACGGCAGTGAACGCCACACAAGGCAAACACCGCCTAGGAAACTGAGGCCAGAGAAGCGTCAATCCCGGTTGACATTAGCGAACGAACTGGAGCTTGGCAGCCGGCGCGGTAGGTCCGGGGCTCCCCCCTCCCCCTCCCGGGGTGGGGAGGGCTGCGCGGACGATCGGCGCGGCAGTAAAGTGTGATGTTTGCTTGTTTGCTTGTTTCCTTGGGATTGTAGGGAGTTTTCTACCTCTCTGTTCGGTTTTTGTTGTAGTTTCTTACCATGTGGGGTTTGTTTTGTTACGCCTACCTTTCTGGGTGCCTAACCCCGGTCGATGGCAGATAAGGAAAACCCCCAACCATATGGGGTTTTCCAGGGCCATTGCTCCCTGAAACCTCTCTGAAGGGGCCAGGTTCTGGCGCTGGTCCCTGGTAGGTCTGAACTCCTTAGCTAATGTCCCGGTCTAACATAACACACATTAGCCCGATAAGCTCCAGGGAGCCGTAGGGGCTCCCCACAGAAAAGTATGAAAAATCAATCAGAGACATTGAAATAATTCGGTAATTATCTCTTTGTGGCAACTCCGGCCTGACAGCTTGCGAGCAACAGACCGCCTGGGACGCACGCTGAGTCAGCGCCCATAATTTGCCAGACTTCCCCGCCCTATAGCGGGCAATATATGCCACTTACGATTTTTTTATTATTTTTCCCGTGATCAGTGAACACAAATTAACAGGTTAGAAAGAAAAAATAATTTATTTTTTTTTCAAAATGACATGCGCCTGTGGGGATGGCAGGATAACCCCGAGCATGTTAAGGGTTAAGTGTCACGAGATAGACAAAGTGTTAACAGTGGACTTCTCAGTACAAACCAAAATTGACCTTTGATATTAGTCTATATCTAATTGTAGATTCAAAAGAGTCACATACTTGATAGGAGTGTTCAGGACCGGGAATTCCACAATTAATTAAATAATAGAGTACAATTAATCTGTATGTTGGATAATGGTAATATATTTGAGCTTAACTTATTGTAAATAACCTCTTAGTTTTGACAATCTTACCCAGCCGGCAACATAACTTACCTATACAACATTACTTCAACTGAAGTTACAACTTGAATTTTCAGTGTTGGTCTCCTCTGGAGCAGTGTTCTTAAGAGGTACATAGTCTGTGCTGCAACTTTTCTTGATGGATCACCCAATTTGTTGATAACTGACTCCACAATAAGACTCGCCTCTTGACTTGGATTATTAGTTAACAAATCTACAAGACTTCGTACACCTTTCAATTTGTTCTTGTCCACTGTGTCATGAGAAACCTAATGAAATATATCAATATCAACATTTTGCTGTTTTTATAAATTAAATAATCAAAACAAATACCACAATACAGCAATTGAAACATGAGGAACTCACAAGTTTTAGTAACATACTTAATATCACAGATAAAATTGAATTATTAATAAAAATAAAGACATTGAATTCTTAACATAAACTTGGGAAGGCTCTTGTGACCTCACCCAAAGCCCTTTAACCCTTAAACCGCTAACTGTTAAATATCAAACATTCCCAGGGCGCTCAAGAAAAAAAATTTTCTGAATAAATTATTTTTTTCTTATGACATTGTTAATTAGCCTTCAGGAAGAACAAAAATCCAAATAAAAAGTGTGTAGGTCTTGTGGTTTAGCTGTAGTGGCCTGGAGAAGTTGCATAGTTTTAGTTGAGGTGCCGCATAGGAATAAATTTGTTGATTTATTTTCAATGTTTCTCAATTTATTAATTTAGTCTTTTCATGCTAACAGGTTGTATTTGTGTGTCAAAGTTACTGTCTATTTTGTAAAGCTTTAAAAATATAAGTATGTATGGATATACAAGTAAAGATATAAAGACACCCACATACTTATTCATAATAATACATGTATAAATATATTTTAAATCTAAATCTTAAAATTGCATATGGCACACATTTTGCCTCAAATATATACATGGTAATCACTCATTTGCTGTTGCTAAAAGTTGAGTGTCTCCTCTGTGGCTGCCCTAAACATTCACATACTGGATGGTGATGTTGCCAAGCAATGGTCATCATTTTCTTACACAGGCCCTAGAAAGAAAGTGAAGGACTCTGGATTTTTTTCATGATGGGGGATGGTTACTGGTGGTCTGAGGAAGCATATGTGAGCTCTATGTATGTATAGGACTATTTTAACTATTTTAAATACGCAAATCATATATATATGATTTGTGCCGTTTTGTGACAGTTACTCAATTGTGTATGTATGATTTGTGCTGTTTAAGGGTTAAGCATTTTTGAAAATGGTTATATCAGTGATAATATGAAAGGGAAACAATTGCAAGTCTAACTTGCAACAAAAGTACCACTAATTAGTGCTTGACCTATTGTAACATCGTAAGGTGTTTTGTTTAGTTTTATTTAATCATACATAGAGATATACGAGTCACAGACAAGGATTTGAGAGGCGCCAGGTTGGCGGCCTGAGTCTCACAGCTCTAAGCGTTAATGACCTCAAGTGACCTGAGGTCAGATCATGCGAATTCCACCTTGCTTCTGCTAATCTTATAATTGGAGCCTGGTAGCCTTCAAACATCCCGACGTTTAAGGAGTGGCTTGGTAGAGTGCCTGAGGCTATCAACTTGTGGGCGGAGTTAGTTACTAGGTTCCCCAATATATACTCGGAGAGCAGAGCATAGGGACAGATAGAGAGGAGCCAGCAAAGCAGAGGAGAAGACGGCCTAGCCAGGGAGGCTGTCAGCCGGCAGGGCGGGACAGTCTGTCACCTACAGACCCCCCCCCCTCTCAATCCAGCTATAGGCAGACACTTAGTGAGTTGAACATTAAGGTGATTTGGTCGTGTTTACAATTGTTGTGTGAGGATCAGGGGCAGTCAAGTTGTAGGGTTCTCGAATTCTTGGATGATGACTCACTTTGCATCTTGAACATTAAGTTGAATTGCTTAAATTATGATATCATGTGAAATATAATTGAAGTTATTTAAATTGTTTTTAACTTTGTTCCCTAGAGTTTTTGAGTTGAGATGAGAAAGCCTCTGCGGTTTCATGATTTAAGAGTACATGAAAGATGGAACATACTAATAATGACCTTTTTATAACCTCTTTTGAGAATATTGAGATACAGACAAGTTCCATTCCTTGTCTTGTATGTAATAGTCTTGAATGGATGGTGGCAGCATTTCTTCTTCTACTATCTACTTTACTTCTACTATCTACTTTTCTACTTCTACCTATCTACTCCTCTCCCTCCACCCCTCTCCGAACTCTCCCTTTCAGCTAATGACCCTCCTCGCTCCTCCCACCTCTCTACCTCTCTCACCCCAAACCCTCACTAATTACCTCATTATTCATCTCTTTCCTTTTGTTTCTCTTTCACGTTTGTGGCAGTGAAATGTATTCTACTTCTCTCTAGACACGGGAAGACGCCTAGACCATGCCGACGTGAAGAGGTCCACCTCTGGGTGCCCGAACGTCTGGCAAAGTCAACGGAAGGAAACGTCGTCGACCGTCCACTCCGTGGAGAGGGGAACGAAGCGAGAAAGGCCGTCAGCCACGATGTTGGATACTCCACGTACGTGAACCGCCAGGAGAGCCAAACCCCGAGAACTCAGCAGACGAGTCACCCGAAGCGACCAACCCCAAAGAGACAAGGACTGCATCGAACCCCCGCGCTTCAGGCAATGAACCACCGGAAAGCAGTCCGAATGGAGCCGAATCGTCGATCCGCAGGCGACCCGAATCCTCCGAAGAGCAAACCACACTGCCGCGAACTTCCGCATCGTGCTGTGAGCTCGACAGAAGGACAGACCCCAACGCCCCTGGCCGGCCTGGTGATCACTGGTCACAAAGCCCCAGCCGAGAGACGACGCATCTGTGTACACATCGAGTGAGGGCTCATGTAGGTGTCAAGGCACTAAACCCCGAAAAACCCTTAGAGGAAGCCGGCGATGCAGCAGCCGATGCAAGGCCCCCAGGGGTCGAACCCAGCAATCGCGAGAGAGGAGGAAGGGGTGACCCTGAAGGAACCAGAACAGCCGACGAAGCCAAACCCGACCCGGTGGGTAGACTACCATCGCGAAGTTCAGGCTCCCGCACAGCCAGGTGACCCTAGGGCCCACCAGAAACAGATGAAGGCGGGACCGCAGCCGCAAGAGAGACTCCAGAGGGAGAGACAAGGATGCGGTCCGAGAGTCCCAAACGAGACCCAGCCAAGTCCGAACCCGAGAGGGAATCAGATGGAACTTCCTCCAGTTCACCAGGAACCCGAACCCGGCGAGCTGGGAAAGAACCAAATCCCTGGCTAGCAAGCAAGCTGACTGGCTGGGAGCCCAAACCAGCCAGTCGTCGAGGTAGGCCAACACTCGAACACCTAGGAGACGCAAACAGGCCACCACGACCCATATAAGGTGCGTAAACACGCGAGGTGCCAGGTTCAACCCGAACGAGAGACAACGAAAGCGGTAACTCAGACGCCCCACAACAAAACCGAGCCAGTCCCTGAACCGCGGATGAATCGGGACATGCCAATAAGCGTCCCGGAGGTCCAGGGACACCATCCAAGCGCCCGGCTCCAAGACGAGCCAAACCTGAGACAGCGTAGTCATCCGAAAGGAGGGGTAATGAACCCAGGGGTTCAGACAGGACAAGTCCAGAATGAACCGCAGGTCCGCGCAGTCCCGTTTCGGGATCGGAAACAGACGGAAAACCCATCTGAGGGACGACGGCGTTTCAACGATGCCCAAGCGAACCACTCCAAGATGACCTGACAGAGCGCAGGGGAACAAACCTGCCCTGCCAGCCCCAACACCACCACAGGCCGATAGACATGACCCGAAATGCCTACGAATCGTGGGACCAGGTGTGGGCGAACAGTGTAAGCCGCCCCCCCCATCGCCCCATCAATGGGACAAACCGCGATAGGGCTGGCACCTCTTACAAGACCCAGAACCCCGCACAGAGCAAACACCGCGCCGACCAGACAAGGGCAGGTCCGAAGCAGGAGCCAAACCCGAACCTGACACCAGTGGCCTACCACGACGAGAGGAACCCCGAGCCCTGGCACGACCCTTCCGGGAAGACCCACCCCGGGACCCCCGGAAAACCAACAAGTCCGCCAACGGACGACAAGCCGACAACGCAGCCTGAATAAACTTCGCCACGGCCGACTCCTCAAACAGAAGAGGACAAAAAGGCGAAGACCACCTAAGAGCCAGAGCCCAAGCAGATTCCATGGAGGAACCCAGCACCGCCTGCCAACACGCGAGACGGGAAGTTTAAAACAGGGAAACCGTATCCCACAAAATCAGTGAGAAAAGCCTCAACAAGGCAGCCGACGAACGCGCCACCAAGGACAAGGCGCCGGACCCAAGCGTCCTTACATCCTCCACGAGCCAATCCGAGGACAGCTCCAGGAGGGAAAAGAACCGCAAGGCCGAAACCAAAAGGCCCCGGGCGCACAAGTCCTCCGCTACGAGCGCCGCCGAAAGGGTGGAAACCTTCACATGGAGCTGAACAATGCCCACATCGCGGGGAAGGGCAGGGGCAAACAAGCACTCATTCAGGTACTCAAGTTCGCCCCCCAGGAAAACCTGAAGCACCGTGGAAGCTTCCTGCCACTCCAGCGTGCAGGAACGACAGAATGAATGCCAGGAATCCAGAGCAAACAAGGGGCAGTCAACTAGCCAGGAAGACTCAGGAACCTCGTAACGGAGCCAGAAAAGGAACGAAGTCCCAAACCTGAACTCGGACAGGTCCATTTCCAAGGCATAATCTGGGCCACGCAGGAGGTAAGCTGCAAAAGCCGCTCGCATCACACCAGGTTGGATGTGATAAGCCGAAAACCTCCGGAAAGACGGAACCGACGTACCCGGGGGAACACGGAACCAAAGCCGGGGAGAGGCCGACACCAAATCCAACTCGTACACAGAGGAGGGAAAAGAAAACCCCGCACCTTGTAACACTAAGCCCTGCTTAGAGGGAAGAAAACCCAGGCGGGGTCCAGCGGGGCACAAGGCCCCCAAGTCAGCCCCTCCCCAGCCTCAAGGTCCTTCACCACAGGACCCAGGGCCGAGTCCTCTCCCCAAGCCCCGACCCCACAAGACAAGGACGGAGCAGCCGTAGAAGCTGGAAGAAAGGGGGCCCACTGGTCAGACTCAGAAGCTTCGCCCGGGTGACAAGCCTCGAATGCCTCTGCCCCCCCCCCCGGAAGGGGCACCCCCCGTAGCTGCCCGAGTCTCGAGATCAAGTAACCCCTGCTCCGACTCCAAAACCCTCAGACATTTTGGGGCTGGAAGCAGGGAGAGGGGGGGAGGACCAGAACGAACAGAAGGGGAAGGACGAGGAGGTGTGGATTGAACCAGGATCGAAGCGACCCCCACCCCCAAGCCCGGGTCTCGAAAAGCAAAACGGGGCAGCCCCGGGGCATCCGGGTGAGCAACCAACCGCGCGCGTTGCAACAGACAAAACCGAGCTTGCAACACACGCGCCACCTGTACCTGAATAGAATCATCAGAGGATTGGGTAAATTGAGTCACAAGCAAGCAGCAACACTCATAGGACTCAGGGTCGAAAATATCACCGACCCAACAGGCAGCGTGGCAGAGGCAAAAACAATGAGGGTCACCCTGAGACAAGGGGACGAGCAGCCCTCAAACTCGCACACAGCGAGCGGGGACTCCGGGGTCACATCCATCGGACTCACGCGCCCCCTAGGGGATTCCCAAGGTCCCAAGCGTTTACTTCAAGAGGACTCGCGCTCAGGTAGTCCCAGGCAGGGCGCTGCTAACTGGCGCCCAAAACTACCAAGCGAACTTCTATAGCTGTACCCCAGGGACGTGTACACTCACGGGGACCTAGCAGGGGGCACCACAGAGGAAAACCGTGGAAGGGTAACCACCAGTGGAATAATTGGGCAGAACCTCCCACCAGGCTAAAACAAAAAGAAAAACAAAACCCCGCAAGAGGACAACGAACCCCAAGGAACAGAGCCGGCCCCTACGTCGGGAATACAAAGCTGTGCAGCACCCTGCGCCCCTACCAGTGCAAACTGCCTCTTACCTGCAGGGAACAAGGGAGAACAGAACACCCAAGATCCCAACAGGCGGCCGAAAAACCGAAAAGGTAAAACGGACCAGCAGAGGCAGATCCCGAGGAGCTTGTGGAAGATGGCCCCAAGCCCCAAGGGCACTACTTACAGGGCACCTAGGGAAGACAGCCCTAGGCGCATGCAGCCCGAGTACTGAAGATAACTCCTGGCTCTCGCACCCACAAAAACAACCACCACACGCGAAGCATAGTGCTGTAGCGACACTGGAGCCAGAGCACACGACCTTCGCCTATAGCATCAGCCTCAAGAACTGAGGTGTGGGTAGCCGGCGTGGAGGGTCTGGGGCTCCCCCCCTTCCCCCCAACCCGGGGAGGGGGGAGCTGCGCAGACAGCGGCGCGGCGACGTGTGACATCACACTAGTTTGCTTGTTTTCTGTTGGGGAGTTCTATTCACTAGTTTGGCTTTTGGTAGCAATTTTAACCAGAATAGGGGTTTGTTTTGAGGCGCTTACCTTTCTGGGTGCCTGATCCGGTCGATGGCAGACAGAATGCTTCCAAGCACACTGGGGCTTCTATAGGCCATTGCTTCCCTTGCCTCTCTGAGGGGGCCCGGTAGGCCTAGAACTCCATACACATGACTGATGCCAAAGTCTGACATTAGCATATCAGCCTGGGAAAGCTCCGGGAAGCCGACGGGGCTCCCCCCAGAAAGATCAATTGATAAGAGCTGTTGTCCAAGGGTTAATTAACAATAACGGTACAGTAAATTCATAATGTATGCCAGAGTCTTAAAAATTCAGCTCACTCATTACAGTACATGGAGGTTTATTTTGGTGCACCTTGATGTAGCTCTATGGGCAACCATAAATGGTCTTTAAACATTAAAGTCTGCTTTCTAATATAAAGTTTCATAACAAAAAAACTAACCTCAGTAAGCTGTCTGATAAGTTTCTGATAAGCACAGGCCAGCTGATCTTCGAAGTACCAGAGTGCCAGCTGTTTTTCTGCAAGCTCACGGTTACTTACAACAAAAGGATTCAAGCAAGAAAAACTATGTTCTTCAAACTTCTTAATCGTTCTTCTATCTGGCAATAAGGTTGACGTGAAGAGCTCTATAAGTGAACCTGGTAAAAAATTTAATTTAATATTAAATAAAATTAATAATTAATTGCTGTACAGTATATACAAGATAATTGCTAAGGGGAGTGGAAAGATATACCAATTTCACATAACGGGAATATTTGAGAAACCAAAAGATGATTCATTCATCTATGACACATAGGCTCCATATGATTTACATGGCATTAATGCAAATTTATCTTTCTGTTGGGAATCAGATTCTAACTGATCTTTGGGTTAGGATTCTATACATTCCACATTCTTGTGTTTTATGAGCATTTTTGAAATCACATTCATGCATAATTGTACATCCCAAGAATTCTGCACCTAATTATATACTGTATTTTGACTGGAAAATGGAGATGTGTCTGAATTAAAAAAAAAAAATAATCAAGGAAATTTCTGATTAGGACTTTCAGGAACTCCTTGAGATTATACAACACTTTCGCTCGGTGATGACGCAGTAATGCGTCAAAAAACCAGCATTGAATGTAATGAAACGCCATTTTCTGGGTGAGCCCCTACGGCTCCCTGGAGCTTATCAGGCTAATGTATGTTATGTTAGACCGGGACATTAGCTAAGGAGTTCAGACCTACCAGGGACCAGCGCCAGAACCCGGCCCCTTCAGAGAGGTTTCAGGGAGCAATGGCCCTGGAAAACCCCATATGGTTGGGGGTTTTCCTTATCTGCCATCGACCGGGATTAGGCACCAAGAAAGGTAGGCGTAACAAAACAAACCCCACATGGTAAGAAACTACAACAAAAACCGAACAGAGAGGTAGAAAACTCCCTACAATCCCAAGGAAAACAATAAAGCAATCAATTTACTGCCGTGCCGGTCGTCCGCGCAGCCCTCCCCTCCCGGGAGGGGGGGAGGCCGGACCTCGCCACGCCGGCTGCCTTCAGTTCGGAAGCTAAGCTTCAACCAACGCGAAAAATCCCGCCGACCGGATGGGAAAGAGGGCAGCCAGGGAGCCTCTGGGGCTCACCCAGAAAATGGCGTTTCATTACATTCAACGCTGGTTTTCTGTGGGGAACCCCTACGGCTCCCTGGAGCTACATACACAAAGAGAAGGAAAAAAGGGGACTTACCCGGGAGGCGGCGGCCACAAACTCCTCAACGCGAAGTCGAGACAACTAGCTGCAACCTGCGACCCAAAGCAACACAAGAACGCCGAGGAGCAGGGACATTCACCAAATAACGGGCGGCCAGGACCCTGTTCGACTTCCAAAATCCACGCGCCCGAATATGTGCCCAAGACATATTACCAAACATGGCAGCCAAAGCAGCAAACTTCCTAACATCATGGGCGCGAGGATAGACCTCAGGCTGGCTAAACTTAATAACCCTGCAGACAACCTGGGAGACCCGAGCCCTGGAACAGGGAACGAGGGAAACTGGATCAACCCAAAGCGCATCCTCAGCCACCCTGGCTGAAACGCACAGGTAACGGCTAAGTGTTGCAACCGGACACAACACATGATGCACCCCCGGCCGAACCAACCAAGCATCAATGACCTACGGACCCCTCTGGAAAGAAGCCGTCTCGTTCTTCGCCAGAAATGATGGAGAAGGCTGCAAACGGACAAACCTACCCTAAGGACCAAAAGAGCAGAAACCCCTGCGCCGGAGGAGAGCATGAAGCTCCCCTACCCGGCCCTCAGAGGCCAATGCCAACAAAAACAAAGCCTTGGAAAAACAATCAGGAACCAAAGTGGCCACCACAAACCGAGGAGAAGAGAGAAACGAGAGCACCCGGTCCAAGGACCAGGACGGCTCAGATGGTGCATGAGCAGGCCAGAGGTGAAACATAGTATGGGAAAGCTTACGAAACGGGGCGGATGTGACGTCCACCCCAAAAGCTAGCTTGAGCGGTTCCGCCAGCGACACACGATACGAGGCGACAGTATTAGGCATCAAATGACAGTCCTGAAAAAGCCAAGAAAGAAAGGACAAAACAACCCGATCCGAAAGAAAAGACAACCTACGAAGAGCCAGAAAATGGCGAAAAGAATGCCAGGAAACTTCCTACTGTCGCCGAGACGAAGCTCTCAGGTGGGACACCATCAACGAAGCCACATGATCACCATAGCATTGGTGATACACCCGCGTCAAAAAGACCAGATGCGAAGAGCAGAGAAAGTCGAACCAGCCCCGTACCGGATCGAACCGACCTGCTGAAAGAGGCGGAGCCACGGGAAACGTCCCGGGTTCGGGCACCGAGCCAATAGCACCAGAAACCAAGGCTGAGCCGGCCACCAAGGGGCCACGAGGACTACTCTCCCTGGGAATGTCTCCAACCGAACCAGAACCCGAAGCAACAGCTGGACTGGGGGGAAGAGGTACAGGTAATCCCACCTCAACCAGTCCTGCCGAAAGGCATCCACCACAAACGCTTCGCAGTCGGGGAAGGGCGTCACATATATTGGGAGACGCTGAGACCACGCCGACGCGAAGAGGTCCACATCTGGGAGACCGTACGTCTGGCACAGCCAACGAAACGAGTCGTCGTCGACCGTCCACTCCGTAGACAGGGGAAGGAAGCGAGACAGACCGTCCGCCAGAACGTTGGACACTCCCCGGACATGAACCGCACGGAGAGCCAAACACCGAGAATCCAGCAGATGAACCAGTCGAAGGAACCAACCCCAAAGAGTCAAGGACCAAAGAGAACCCCCGCGATTCAGGCAATGAACCACTGGAGAACAGTCCTAATGGGGGCAAATGGTCGATCCCCGAGCGACCCGAATCCTCCAAAGCACGAACCAGACAGCCACGAACTCCCGAACCGTGCTGTGAGCCCGACGGAAGGACGGACCCCACCGTCCCTGGCCTGCCTGGTGAGCACTGGTCACAAAGCCCCAGCTGAGAGACGACGCGTCCGTGAACACGTCGAGTAAGGGCTCGGGAAGGCGCCAATGAACCGAACCTCGAAAACCCCGAAGAGGAAGCTGGTGACGCAGCAACTGACGCAAGACTCCCGGAGGACGAACCCAACGATCGTGAGAGAGGTGGAAAGGACGTCCCCGAAGGAATCAAAACAGACGCCAAAGCCAAACCAGACCCGGCGGGTATAGCATGGCGAAGTTCAGACTCCCGCACAACCGCTCGAGCAACCGCCGAGTGACCTGGAAACAGCTGATCAGAAATCAGCTGACGGCGGTTGGAGGGGTTTCTGATCAGTGAGTGATCAGAAACAGCCGACGGCGGTCCCGAAGCCGCCGCAAAGCCTCTGGAGGGAGAGACAAGGAAGAGGTCCGAGAATCCCAAACAAGACCCAGCCAGGTCTGAACCTGGGACGGAACCAGATGGGACTTCCTCCAGTTCACCAGGAACCCGAACCTGGCGAGCTGGGAAAGAGCCATATCCCTGGCGAGCAGACAAGCTGACCGACTGGGAGCCCACACCAGCCAGTCATCGAGGTAGGCCAAAACCCGAATCCCTAGAAGATGCAGACATGTCACCACAACCCGGGTCAGATGCGTGAAAATGCGAGGTGCCAGATTCAAGCCAAAAGGTAGGCATCGAAAACGGTAAGCGTGATGCCCCACCACGAAACCTAACCAGTCCCTGAACCCCGGATGAATAGGAACGTGCCAATAGGCGTCCTTGAGGTCCAGGGACACCATCCAGGCACCTGGCTCCAACAGAAGCCAGACCTGAGACAGAGTAGTCATCCGAAAGGAGGGGCAAGGAATCAAGGGGTTCAGACGGGACAAGTCCAGAATGAACCTCAGATTCGCACAGTCCCGTTTCGGCACTGGAAACAGACGGGAATCCCACCTGAGGGACGTAGTCGTTTCGACCACGCCCAAGCGCACCCACTCCAAGATGAAGCGCAGGAGAAGAAACCTGCCCTGTTAGCCCCGAACCCCCCCCCCCCCAAAGGAGGACGAGTCACCCAACGCCACCGCAGGCCGGATGACACAACCGAAAAGGCCCACAAATCATGGGACCAAGCGTGGGCAAACAGAGCGAGGCCCCCCCCCCCATCGCCCCGTTAACGGGGTAAACGGCGAAAGGGCCGACGCCCCTTACAAGAACCCAAACGACGAACAAGGCGATCACTGCGCCGACCAGACGACGCTGGCCCCGAAGGGAACAAAGGCTCAGAAACTGGCACCAATGGCCCACCTCGACCAGCGGAACCTGGAACCCTGGCACGACCCCTCCAAAACTGCTGAGAATGACTGCTTCGGAGAATCAACAAGTCCGCCATAGGACGACAACTAGACGAAGCCGCTTGCAGAAACTGAGAGACCTCAGTCTCTGCAAACAGCAACGGACAAAACGGAGACGAAAACCTATGAGCCAAGGCCCAAGCGGATTCCAAAGAGGGCGAGCACAGCCTGACGGCACGCGACGTGAGAAGTAAAAAACAGAGACACCGCTTCCTTTTAGGATGGGCGCAAAGAGCTTCAACAGTGCAGCTGACGCCCTAGCTGCCGAAGTCAGCGCCCCAGACGAAGGCCCTTCACTCAACGCTCCTACATCCTCCTCAAGCCAAGCAGAAGACAGCTCGAGAAGAGAAAAGAAACGCATGACTGAAGCCAAATGCCCACGGGCACACGACTCCTCCACAACCAATGAAGCCGAAAGCTGAGGAACCTGCCCGTGAAGCTGGAAAAGGCCAACATCCTGAAAAAGGACGGGAGCGAACAAGCACACATTAAGGTGCTCAAACTCGCCCCCCAGGTAAACCTGCATAAAAGTAGAAGTTTCCCGCCAATCAAACGTGCGGGTCTGACAGAACCCATGCCACGCCCCCAACGAAAAGAAAGGGCAGTCTGCCAGCCAGGAAGACTCCGGAACCTCCAAACGCATCCAAAAATGGGAAGAACCAAACTCAAACGAGGACAGATCCATAGCAGAGGCATAACCCGGATCTCGCAAGAGGTATGCAGCTAGAGCTTCCTGAGCCACCTTCGCGAAGATACGGGAAGTAGAAAATCTCTGGAAAAACGGATCCGAGGTACCCAAAGGCGCCCGGAACCGAACTCGGG